ATTCATTCAACCTGCTGTGTCCGATTTATTCTGTGCGCAACTGGGACGCTCCCGTCAAACAGGGGGACCCTCTGTCTCCACTTATTTTCAATGTCTGCATGGATCTAATTATTGACAGACTGGAAAGAATGGAAGGCTTCCAAGTTATGGATGGTCTTAGCATATCGTGCCTGGCTTTTGCCGACGATATAATACTAATTGCAAATGATAGAATCGCGGCGAGTCGGCTTATGGATGAGCTCGTCGGTTCTCTCTCAAGATGGAGAATGAGACTATCGATTAGAAAGTGGGTTGCCTTTGGTATTATTGTCGCCACCAAAGATAGCTGGCATATGGTGGACCCTGAAATTCACAGTAACGGCGAAAAGGTCGCCTACTGCGGCCCTGCGCAGTCAATGCAATACCTGGGTATGCAGGTCACTCCGTGGGAAGAAGTGGTTGTTAAGCGCGCTAGTGCACGGCTGAGGGACACGCTCCCAAGAATCAAAAGGCTATCCCTGAAGCCTCATAAAAAAGTCGAGCTCCTGGCACGGTATGTTTTGCCGTACTTTTTGTATGTCTTCACCGCGGGCGCTATTAGTGCCACTGAACTAAGAGATCTGGATCAAACACTGAGGACGGCGGTGAAAGACTATCTGCAACTTCCCCTGTCCACAGCAGATGGTCTGCTATACGCGTCCAAACGCGATGGCGGCATGGGCTTTCCGAATTTAAACTCGAAATTGTTGTAACGTCCGCAACATTAAAAGCTGGATTTGGCTTTTGAAACAATAGCGACCCGGCTATTCAAGCCCTAGTAGTAGCGTCGGGGCTGGAGAAAAAACTAAAGCGCCTGGCGCATGTAACCAGACTTGGCTAAGCTGGCCACTACAGTCGATCAAACAGGTCGAAGGCTACAAGCTCAAAGCCAAAGCGAGCGAGTGGAAGAGATGGTCGGAATTACCTTCCCAAGGAAAGGGAGTGCAAGCCTACAAAGATGATAAAATAAGCAACGAATGGTTATACCGTCCTAATCTGTTGAAGCCATCCAGATATATCACGGCGCTCAAACTCAGAGACAATATGGCAGCGAACAAAGTGTCGCTCAACAGAATTGCCAAGACCGACAACGTCATGTGCCGCAAATGCAAGGCACAGCCTGAGACGCTGGGTCACATACTGGGGCAGTACACCAAGTCTGCCCGAATCAAGCGGCATAATGATATCCGAGATTGTATAAAGCGTCACGTTTTGGGGCGGCGTGACATGATGGTAACGAAGGAGGCCCGACTGCGGGACCCTCAACTGAGGAATCTCCAACCAGACCTGATCATACGGTATCGGGAAAGAGTCTTTGTGACTGACATCACAATCTGCCATGAAGACGGCGATCTCTTAAAGAGAGGTAGAAGGGACAAGCTCGCTAAATATGCGTCCCTCGTAGCCCCATTTAAAGCTCAATTAGGGGCGAAAGACTGTGTGATCCTCCCGATATAGTTATCGGGACAAGAGGAGCAATGCCCAAAGACACTGTTACCTGTCTTCATGAACTGCAAATTAAAGACAGAGGCTCGCTGAGAACGGTAACACTTCAAGCACTCAGAAGCTCAGTGGAATTTTTCCATATGTTTATGGATTATAACGCACCTTTGCGCCTCAACAGCAGCGATGCTGCAGATTAAAAACTCTTGGCACTAGCTCACTGTTGTAATTTTATATATAAACGATGGTCTGGGACCTGATCCACCCAATATTTTATTTATTTATTTATTCGGGAGCATTCTACACTCCCGATTTTAAGTTATGCCGGCACTTTTGCCGTTGACATCAGTAATGCAAGTCGTTCGGACGGGCACCGAACGGCGGCAAAGCCGTGCGACCGAACCGCCCCGGCGCACGAGCGGACGTCTTCACGTGGCTCCCCGCAGTAACGGCAACACTAAGCTGGCCAAGTTCCGCTTCCCCAAGTTGGGGACTCTGCTTAATAATTTTTTCAGCCCGTAATAAGGAATCCCGCGGCAGATCAGTCAAATGGGTTTTCCTCCTGCGGGAGGACTTGCCAAGAGTGCTAGATAGACCCAGTCAATTAGATAGGATGTCAGAACGAAAGTTATGCTAGATCTCGTATCCTTGTTGTTTGGGTACCCTGTTGCGCAGACGAGCGATCCAATCGTTAACCTGCAGGATTGCTCAGTCAAGACCCGTTGTTACCAGGAACCGCACTGACAAGAAGCGGGAAGACGCGCCAAAATGGCGTGATGTATGTAGTATGTAGCCAAATGCCTCGTCATCTAATTAGTGACGCGCATGAATGGATTAACGAGATTCCCACTGTTCCTATCTACTATCTAGCTAAACCACTGCCAAGGGAACGGGCTTGGAAAAATTAGCGAGGAAAGAAGACCCTGTTGAGCTTGACTCTAGTCTAACACTGTAATGTCCGGGTGCCCCGGGTATAAGGCACCTTGGGTTATTTCTCAAAAAATGTGTTTTAATTTTTTTCTCAAAAACTAATTAATATTTGCCAAATACGCTAAATAAAATTTAAAATATATATAGTGCTTTAATTATAAAAAAAATAAGATAAAAAATTTTATATTTCAAAATACTTTTCAGAGTTTAAATTTTTATGGCTTATGGTGCCCCGGTTTCCCCTATATTGGTCTTGATGATGTAGTGGATTCGTACATTGGACGTTTTGTAGTAATTGTGGATTCAATGTCGGTTTGGCTGACGTCGATTACAACCGCTCCTAATAATCATAAGAAGTAGTATTAAAATGTTATTAAAAAATCATACCTAAAAAATACTATTTCATAAAATATAATCAATATTTATACTTTTTTTATATAATTGACTCCAAACTTTATATTTTTCTACATATTGTACATATTATTGAGATATTTTTCTATTTAAAAAAATTATATTAACATCTACCTTCTGTAATGGGACACAGCGGGCCCTTCGGATAATTTCTCAAAACTCGATTCATTGTTCTCAATAGCGGGCTAGGCTCGCAGCCGCATGTGTTGTTGAAGTCGTCCAGATCTAAGGCCCAAACACTACCACCGCCAAGATCAAGTTTCTTAATCAGTTCTGCCTTCAGTTTAATTTGTTGAGCGTCGTCGAAGCTCACCCACTGATCATCTTTGTAGGCATAAGGGCCGATTCTTCTGTCTTTATCCTGAACGACTGTCCATCCCTTCTTCAACGTTCTTTCACATATCTGTCATAAAAGCAAAAGAATAGATATTTATTTACTCCTGGAATAAATGTACATCTTTGGGATATTAAAAATTAATAACTTTTTATTTGCAGTTATTAATTAATGCAGAATTAATATTTTCTTATATGCATTTTATTAGAAACTTATTTGATGATTTTTTAATATTTATTTAGATTTTTATTTTTTAATATTTTTTTTTTTGACATGAATTTACCTCGTAATATGACAAGAAGCCTGTTTCATTGGTCGCCTCTCCAGCTTTGCCGCCGTCATAGGTTGGCGCGTTTAATCCGTGTACGCTACTCGCCGCAAGTGAAAATGATCGGCCGTACAATGGGGTGCCCATAACAATGCTTCTGGGTGGTGCACCCTTCGAGATCCAATAGTTAATCGAATAGTTAGCGTTCAAGTAGTACATCTCATCGTAGTACTTCTCATCGTCCGGATGATAATATAAAGGCGCAACATGACCGGTACGTTCGTCCCAATCTCCGTGATAGTCATACGCCATGACGGTGATCCAGTCCAAATACTCGGCCAACGCCGGGACGTCGTAGCCCTTGTCAATCACCTGCATGTCCGCCGAGACCGCTGCCGAGAGAAGCAATTTTTTTTTCTTGAATTTAGCGCTTAATTCCCGCAATATAGCTGCAAAGTTCTCTTTATCCGAATCTGGACCCTTGTTGCAATTTGCCTGTTGCCAAAATTTGAAAAAAATTGTTAATAATTGAAAATAATTATAAATAATTTTCAAGATTATATACAAAAAGTACGAAAAACAAAGTTTCAAATAAAGATATAAAATACTATCTAAATTTTATATTTAAATCTTAAAATATTATTCAAAATATTTCCAGAGAGATGAAATAAAGAAAAGAAAACACAAAAAAAAGGACGATGATGAATAAAAACTCTAACGCTTGTATTAATATTATTACAGTCTGTCAAGTAAGAGCGTGGTCGGCCTAATTTATAGAAAAATTGAGTTAGCAAAATTTTGAAATACATATATAGATACATTCTATTTGATTAGTATAAGGCTAAAATGCAATTACATTAATAATGTGTCCAGTCACCATCGGCGTCGATAATTGACTGACATTTCCGAGGCATATTTTGCACTATTCGTGCGGCAAGGATCTCCATATCTCCAACGAAACTCTCAAGATAATTGCTTTAAACTGAATATTTGTCTTTCACGAAGCTTATGCTTAATATATGCCCAAACATTTTCGATTAGATTTGCATCGGGCGACTGTGACGGCCAATTCAATTGATTGATGCCAGATTGCTCCTTCCACTCAGTACAGAGTCTGCTCCGATGTTTCGGATCATTATCCACCTGCAGGATCCAGTCTTTATTTGTTTTTTTATAAACCACAAGTGTGCAGATAGTAACAAGGCCTTTTTACAGATTTCCAAAATTTTGCCCGCATTCAGATTGTATGTAAACACGTAATACAGCTTCGAAGCCCGACGCGTACGCGGCACGCATGCGACGCTTATGCTTTGCTGTGGCAACACTTTAACGACAACTGAGCTTTTCTTCGCAAAGCATCAAGAAGAAAAGTATCCTCTATCAACTCATGCAAGAATCAGGAGTATAGCTTTTACCAACTGCGAGTTATAGCGACCACGTTCTTACTTGACAGAATGTAAATAAAAAAAAATTGCGTTCACCTGCCAGCAAACAGGATACTCCCAAAACAAGTCCAATCCGTCAAAGCTGTTATTTGCGATAAACTGAACGGCATGATCGATGAAGTTCTTCCTAGCGGATGGACTATTCACCAATCGGCTGTACTTGTCGCCGGCGGAGTCCTCCCATCCGCCCAACGCGAGGAGTACCTTAAGACCCCGCTTTTTATATGCTACCACCCGCTCGTAGAAACGATTGTCGTAGTCCGCCCAGGAATCTTTCGTCTTAATCACCAGCTTGGAATTATCTAGCACTGCAAAGCCGTACACTATATGCGTGCATAGAGTGTGATTGATGTCTTCCGGCAAATAACGGCCGATTCCACGACGGTACCAGGCCCAATTTGTGAAGTAGCACACAACCTTAGGAGATACCTTGCCGGGGTCTATAATCGCCAGGATAATGATAACGCATAACGCTTGCTTTATGTCGCGCTTGCAAAATGAAAAATTTTCCAGATAGACAATTACCCTCGAGCGATGAGTTTGAAATTTCCGGGGAGATCGATGCGTCTGATTTATGAGTGAAATGTACAGTTATGGGCACTACAACAGCTAGAAGTATTAAAGTTATAACGCACGATAAAACCGCACGTTTCCACGTCCAGAGCCATTGCGTCACTAGAATAATTATAAAAAGCTGTATTAGAACGTTTGTTTCACGAGCTACTTATTAATATCGTTTGATGAAATTCATACACCCGCGAAAAACGATCTAATATGAATCTAACTAAAATCATATTAAATCATATTTAATTTGGGTAAAATTCAAATTAAATCCAGATTTTATATTAAAATTATATTTGTTTAAATACAGTTTTAATTTGCACTTATTAAAATTAGTTATGTAGATTAAATATGATCCACAATAAAATAGGGTTTTAATTAAAATTTAATTAGATCACTTATGTGGATCATATAACACTTCGAATCAAATATGGTTTTAATTTGTATTTAATAAGATAACTTATGTGGATTATATATGATCCAGAACCATACATGATGCAGAATATTTATATATAAGATTTTAATAAAAAGTTAATGTGTTCTGTATGCGACTTTTACTCGATTCAATTGCG